GAACGTGAGCTCCCCCAAGGGCACAGCCCATGTCTCACTCATGTCTGCATGCCAGCACCCAAGTCCACGCTTAGCACACACAAGGCACTCGGTGACTGCTAACTAGACGGGCTTTCGCTTTCGGCAAACAGAGGAACAGGGACCAGACTTACTCCCCTGCCTCCGACAACTGAGAACCAGACAAATTAATGAAATGAAACAGCGGTTTTCAGACAATGAGTCAGGCAGTGCACAGGGCACTCCTGAGAGAGAAAAACAAACAACTGCCCCTCCAACTGCCCTAACTTGCTGCCTAGAGAGTTTCCAAGCCCTGGCACAGGCAGGGGGAACCCAGGCAGAGCCCAGCAGTCTCCTCGAGCTGGGGAGAGGAAGCTGGGAGTCCAGACGCTCCAGGAGCCAGAGTTTGCAGGGCAGAAAGAACATCAGGAAGGTGAGAGCGGCACAGAGAGAGAGCTCTAGAAGTCTGCAGAGGGCCCCTCCACTTTCCAGCGGAGTACAGAGAGTAATCATCAGCATTAGAGGCAACAATCTTCAGACCTCAAAGTGAGCCAAAAATGATTTGTGTCCCCACCAGCCAGGGTAGGGAAACCTCATGATTCACAGGACATAATAAAGCACTGCAGAGGGTATCGCCTTGGTAGTGCAAAAAATTAACTCTGGTCTAAAGGCTGCTTTGATCCCAGCTAACAAAACTTAAAGAATGGAACTGTTTCCAAGTACTTAAAAATATCCCAAAACAATGCCAAGAATAATCACAGAAATACAAAAATATCAACGCCCAACAGGATTAAAATCTGCGACATCTGACCCGCAGTCAAAAATTAGCAAAGAAGTAATAAAAATGATCCCTAATGAGGGGGGAAAAACAAAGACAGACTCAGAAATATAGGTAACTGGATTAGCAGGCAAGGGCTTTAACATGGTTATTACAACCGTATTCCATATCTTCAAGAAGCTAAAGGGAAGACTGAGCATGTTAAGTAGAGACATGGAAAACGTAAAAAAGATCAAAATGAAACTTCTAGATATGGAAACTACAATGTCTCAGGTAAAAAGTATATCAAATGGAACTAACAGAAGTTTGGATGCGGCAGAAGAGATCAGAGAACTTGAAGAAACAGCAATAAAACTTCCTGAAACAAACCACAAAGAGAAGAATATTTAGGGAACACACGAGGAGCATCAGAGAGCTGCGGAACCGCCTGAAGCATCGAATACACATGTAACTGGGGTCACCAAGGAAAAAGAAATGAGAACAGACAGAACATCTGAAGAATTGCTATCTGACAATTTTCCAAAATTTCACAAAAGCTAAAAACCCACAGATCCAAAAACCTCGATTAACCTAAGCACAAGAAACATGAAGAAAAACATGTACCCACACCAAGGTACAACATAATTAAAGTGTTTAAAACCAGTGATAAAAGAAAAGCAGCCAGAAGAGAAAAACATACATTATGAGCAGAACAAAAAAAATATGACAGCAAATTACTCACAGGAAGCAAAGCAAGCCAGAAGATACTGCAACTGCCTCTTTAAATGTTGAAAGAAAAATAATAAATCTAGAATTCTATACCCAGAGAAAACACCTTCCAAAAACAAATGCAAAAAATGCAGACTTTCTCAGGCATCCAAAAGACAAAAGAACACATCACCAACAGACGGGTGCTACAAGCAATATTACATACAGCCCTCAAATCAGAAGGACCATGAAACAAACTGGACACCTGGATTTATGCAGAGGAATGAAGAGCAGCGGAAATGAGAAACATGTAAGTAAATATGAAAGGTCTTTTCTCTTTCATCTCTTTACTAAATAACTGAGTGTTTAAAGCAAAAATAACAACAACATATTGTGGGATTTATAACAATATAGAAGTAAAATTGTGACAATAACATTATTAAGGCCAAGGGGGGTAAATGAAAGCACAGTCCTGAGATTCTTGTACTGCATGTGAAGTGGTACAATACCACGTAACGGTGAACTGCGACAAGTTCAAGGTGCACACCATGAATCTTAAAGCAACCACAAAAAAAGCGTTATAGTGAATAAACCAATAAAGAAAACAAAATGTAATCATAAAAGTGACTCCATCCCAAAGCAGTTAGGAAAAAAAGGAAAATGAGAAGAAAGAACATGGAATAGATTGAAAAAAAAATAGCAAGATGAAAGAGTTAAACCCAACTATAGTAATAATCATATTACATCCAAATGGTCTAAACATCCCAATTAAAAGGCAGAGATTAGAAAATTGGGTTTTACAAAATGCAAAACCCATCTATATGCTACCTGCAAAAGACCCTTGTTAAATACAAAGACACTAACAACTAGTTTAAAAGTAAAAGTATGTAAAGAGATACATCGTGCTAACACTAATTTTTAAAATTCCCATCCATTATTTTAATTGTGGTAACACATACGTAACATTTACTGCCTTAAGCATTTTTAAGGGTACGGCTGAGGGGCATCAAGTGCATTCACACTGTCCTACAACCATCACCCCTATCCACCCACAGAACTTTTTCATCATCTCCAGCCGAAACTCTGTCCTATCAGCGCCCCTTCCCTCCTGCCCGCAGGGCCTGGAAACCATGGCTCTCCCTCCTGTCTCTATCAATTTCACTATTTCAGGAACCCCACAGAAGAGAAGCCACGCACTGAGTCTCCTTTAGTGGCTGGCTCGTTTCACTTACTTCTTCAAGTTTCATCCATGCTGTAGTGTATGTCAAAACTCCCTTCCTTTTTAGAGCTGAGTAACAGTCTATGGTAGGTACGTACACACTCATCTGGCAGCTTCCACCCTTTGGCTGTTGTGAATGCTGCTGCCATGAACATCATGTGCAAATCTGTTTGAGGCCCTGCTTATACCTCTTTAGGACGTGCACCCAGAAATGGAACTGCTGGATCATATAGCAATTCTATACTTAATTTTTTGAGGAATTCCGTACTGTTTTTCACAGCAGCTGCATAGGTTACATTCCCACCAGCAATAAATAAGTGTTCCAATTTTCCCACAGCTTTGCCAACACGTCTAATGTTTTTGATAGCAGCCATCCTAAATGGTAAGGGGTACCTCACTGTCATTTTGAGTTTCATTTCCCCGGAGACTAGTGATGCTGTGTGTCTTCGTGTGCTTATTGGCCATCTGTATATCTTCTTTGGAGAGATGTCTAGTCAAGCCCCTTACCCATTTCAATCAAGTTGCTTTTCTGTTGTTGAGCTGTAGTTCTTTATATATTCTGGATATTAATCCACTAACACTAATTTTTTTAAATGTGAATTGACTATATTAAAATGAGACAAAGTACATTGCAGAGCAAAAACACAGTATGAGAGATTAAAAGGGTTATTTCATGATAAAGGAGGTCAATTCATCAAAGGGACATAACATTCCAAAATGTTTATGTACTTAATAACAGAGATTCAAAGCACAGGAAGCAAAAACTGATAAAACTACAAGGAGAAATACACAAATCCTCAATTATAGTTACGTTTCGATGCCCCTCTTTCAATAACTGATAGAACAAGTAGAAAGAAAAGAAGTAAGGAGTAAAGACTTTTAACAGCACTACCAACCAACTGGACGTAACATTTACAGAACACTCCACTCACAGGCAACAGAAAACACATTCCTCCCAAGTGCTCGCAGGACATTTATGAAAGTTGACCACATTCTGGGCCATAAAACAAGTCTCAGTTGAAACAATTCAAATCACACAAAATACATCCTCTTTGTTGTTTACAAAGAAGTTAAATTGGAAATCAGCATTTACTGGACAGAAAGAGAATCAACACCATGATGTTGACTTTGACTCTTTTGCTACTTGAAATCCTGCTCAAGCCCTGGCTGGCGTAGCTCAGTGGATTGAGCACAGGCTACGAACCAGGCATCGCAGGTTCGATTCCCAGTCAGGGCACATGCCTCGGTTGCAGGCCATGGCCCCCAGCAACCGCACATTGATGTTTCTCTCTCTCTCTCCCCCTTCCCCCTCTAAAAATAAATAAATAAAATCTTTTTTAAAAAATCCTGCTCAAGAGGGAACAGATAAATTAGCAGTGGGACTACAGGTACTTATACGTCCTCCATGCTGTGCATACCTGACCTGGTTAAATAACCTGACTGGGTTATCTGTTTATCATACCTGGGTGAGTCTCTCCTTCTCTCTCCTCTCCAGCCCATCCTAAGCCCCAGGGGCCCCGCTCCATCAGCCCCAAACAAATCACGACAAACCTGTTTGGTGTCTGCCCAAGTCTTTCACAGACTTGTGAAAGGGAAACACTCGTGAGTGGTGAAAGCAGTGCCATGGAAGAAGCACCTGCGAAGCAACTATGACGTCACAACTCCCAAAGCCTCAGAGACTACTGCTGTTACAGAGTTCTCTGTGATAACAGACAACTTTCTGGGAATAAGTCAGAATCTTCTGAAAACTCCAGACCCCAGGCAGAAGCTAAGAGCGTTTCCAAACAACAGAGATTCAATCGGATTAAAACAAAGTCTTCAAAGACCTGATTAGGTCAGCCTGGAAAAACCCTACTAGTACTGGCCAACAGTGTCCAAAGATGACTCATGTGGCTAGTTACACCCATGCCCTTTTAGGATTTAGGTCAGATTAGCCAATTCCGAGGCAATAGGATAAAGAAAACAAGATTCCCTAGGAAAAATATCACTTCCAAGCTCAGCATATCTACAAACTTCTTCAGGTAATGTGCTTCCCAAACCTTCCTTATCATATAAGAATCGCCCAGTGTCTATGTTAAAATTACACACTCCTGAGACCCCCACCAGACAGTCTAAGCAGGAATCTCCAGATGTGTGGCTCTGGATTTTTAATAAGCATCACAGATGATTCTTAAGGTCCAGCAAGTACACATTAGCTCTGAAATGAGAGTAACAGGTTAAAAATTCCAACTCAGCTGTTTACCAGCTAGGTGACCCTAGCCAATGTATCTACCATATTTCGAACTCACTTTTCTCCTGTTAAATGGGATCAGCACCTACCTTGCAGTGTTCTCAGAGTTCAGCACATTCACAGAGCTCTCTGAACAGTGCCAAGAGCATGTGCAGCCACGCAAGAAATCAGTTACTGCTACCTAAAAAACCGCCACCAGTAGTTGCCAAGACGAAGAAATAAATCTGCAATAAAAATGTTTTACCTAATGGAACTTACAATGGCACCAAACCACATTTCTGAGATAATATAGGGAAAAAAGCTTTCCTGGGCACTACCACTGACAAGAACAAAGACTCTCACTTCAGTGTCCAGTATTTTGCCCCAAGTCTTCACTCCCGTCCAGAACCAGCGGACAGTCCTGTACAGGGCTGCAGCTTTGGACAACGGCCAAAAAAAAAAAGCTTTCAATCCCAAATCCCTCGGTCACCATCACCTCCAGCTCAAGGGCTGACAGTTGCAGACCTGACAGTCAGGTGGCAGCATCGCTGGGTCAACCAGTAGGAAATAAGACTCTTGCATAAAAGGCAGGGAGCCCGATCTACAGGGTGGCCAAGGCCTGAGTCAGCAACGGGATCTCTGGGATACTGCTGAAGCAAAGGGAAGTGACTCGGTGAAGTTTCCAGAGCTAAAGGTGGGCATTACTTAGATGAGTGAGCGCAGACACTGCGTGGCTGAGAAAGCACTGCCTTGTCTTAGGGGCTGAGACCCTGACCCACAGCATGAACTCCGCCAGGAACACACAACATAGCCTCAGGTCACTTCCTCCGTCGCTCATAAAGTGGGAAATCAGCACCTCATTGGCTGTGGCGGAGGAAACGTAGGGGAACCAGGGACCTGCTGGAGACACAGAGAGTCCCAACTTCCCATTTTTCGACTTTATGATGGTGTAGTAGTGATACGCAATAATAAATGATGACATATTCACAGGTTACTGTAAAACAGGCTTTGTGTTCAATGACTGTGCCCAACTGTAGGCTAACATCTAAGTGTTCTGAGCTCATTTAAGGTAGGTTAGTCTATAAGCTGCAACGTTCAGAAAGTTAGGTGTATTAAATGCATTCTGAGTTATTTTCAATTTACGATGGGTTTATCAGGACTCAACCCTGTTGTAAGTCAAGGAGCCTATTTATGCATTTATAGTATACCTATACATATATACATACACACACACACACACACTGCCCTTTGTACCCAGGAAGTACCAGGCCCATGCTGGACAAAGACACCAATGCCCTCGGTCCCCAGCAAGTCCAGGGATTAGAATTTGTCGGTGATGCTGGGCAGTCCAAGGCTGGGTGCAGAAAAAAGTGTAAGAACAGAGTCCAGGCTTCAAGCCCATGCTGTCAGTGCCCTGGAGAATGGGCACAAGTCCAGGAGACAAAGACCAGAGCGACCCTCCGACCCCGCGGGGCCACCACCTCCCGAGTCCTCTTCCGGTTCGACTGCACTCTTGGGCCTGCTTCCCCATCTGTACAATGGGCAAACTGGCTCTAACGTCACCAGAACGGTGACCAGCAAAATGCTCAAACAGGGAGTGGAGGGTGAAGCGCGGGGGTGAGAGGGGCGGGGCTGGAGGCGCGACCTGCGGGGTTAGCCCCGGCTGCGCCTCGCGCCCTCCCCTCACTGCCTCCCTCCCACTGCGAGGGGCAGGGGAACCAGACCTCGGTGGCAGTCACGCGCCCCTCGTGCCCAATCACCGGCCTCCACCAGAATGAGGCGGGAAGGAGGGGGCGCGCCGGCGGCCATGGCAGCGCCACCCCCGTCCCCGTCCTTGCCCCTCCCCGGGTCTCGCTCACCTGCCCGGGCCGCCGCCGCTGCCACAGCTGCCGCGGGTTAAACCACAGCCCACGCCCACACTTCCGGGGTCCGCAAGGCCCTCCTACTCCTGCCGGATGTGGCTCCCCTCCAACGTCCGGGTCTGGGAGCGGGGCCCACACCGCTCGTCCCTCTACCGCGTTGGGCACCTCACGTTCCTCTGAGTCACGACACCGGCCCTCCTCATCAGACACACTCTCGGGCACGAGGGGCCACACCCACGGGAAGGCCCACGAGACCCCGCCAGGACGGCGGACGCCCCGCCCCCTCAGGCTTTTGGCCCCACCCCCAGGGGGGAACACCGCCCTTGAGGTGGAGACCTGGCCCCCCTTGGGCGAGTGCGCCTGCGCAGATCTTCCCCCCTCTTTTCGGTTGGGTAAGCCAGGAGTTGCAAGTTTACAGGGCTCAGCTTGGGGGAGGTTCCTCGAAGCAGCGCAAAAGGGGCCCGAGGGAAAACTAATGAAATGCCAGTACCTAGAGGGCGCCCTAGAAGGTCTGAGCTCACACTGCGGAACCCCCACGCTAACCAAATACTCAGTTTCGTGACACCGTGGCTCCAAGATTGGAGGGACCACAGAACTAAGTGTCTCCTGGGAAACGGCCGTGCACGTCAGTCTGGAACTGACTGGCAGGTGTCGCAAAACAACTCTTGAGTAGTTTCTCCTAGAGTAACCTGTTTCCCAAGGCCCTAGATAACACTTTTAGTCCATCTGTGTGGGTAGTGCTTTAAAAAATCACAGGAGTCCTTATGCCTCACCCTTGTCCACAATCACGAGGCCGATGACCCACAACGGAGGGTCCTGATGCTTGCTCTTCCAGGCCACGTGCTGGACAGCAAGTTATAAAGTTGCATCCCATTTGAGGTTTTTCCTCTCAGCAGCGTCCGAAATTGCAGATCTGTAAAAATGGGACTCCAGGAGAACAGTTTCAGAAACGTATTAGATGTTGAATTAAGACCACTGTTATTAGTGACTGAAATGCAGCGCAAACCAGCTTCTGCAAAATGGGAATCATTGGGTCACATAACCATGCAGACCAAGGGTCTGTATTCAAGGATTCATCCTTCTTACTTGACTCTGTTCTTTGTCTTTTGTGTTATCACCTTTTCCTTTCTGCAGATAGGCCCAAGATTTATATTTCAAATTCTAGAGAAAACGGTTAAGATAATTGGATAGAGCGCCCCCTTCCTTGCCATTTTATAAGCTGCCGGGTAGCCTGTCAATTAACCACCTTGGATCCAGAGATCACCCTTCTCCAATCAGCGATCACCCCTTAAAGCCCAGAAGGGAATCAGTGAGGAAGGCAATTTCAGTTACTGATTCTTCTGAGACACCAGTAATTCATTTGAGGGATGCTGTGGTTGGTTTCCCAAACATTTCACTTTGAACATAATGTCAGAGTATCTCCCATTGACAGCAGCTGCCAGAAAGCTGGGTTGAAACTGTCCCTGAGGGGTGGGAAGGACCAAGGCAGATGTCGTTAATGTTTTGTCCTAAGCCCTTTTGTAATGTTGAATCCTGTGCATGTGTTACTTTGGCAGGGGGGATTAGAAAACGTTACTGATAGATTCGCTTGAGTCTCATATATTCAGCACTCCTTTCACTCACTGGCACTGTGTTGGAATGTGGAATGTGGATATGATGGCTGGAACTAGAGTAGTCGTATCGAACCATGAGGTGACCTTAGGCATGGAGGCCATACCTGGTGCCACAACAACACAGGCAGAGCCTGAATCCTGATACCAGGGAGCACCGTGAACCGCTGGATGACCACCTCTGGGCTTTTACAGGAAAGGGAAATAAACCACTGTGTAAGCCACTGTTGTTTTGTGTTTTATGTCACTCCCATGCTTTAGGTTTTAGACTCCACTTCCAGAATGCCCCTCCCGTACCCCCAAGACAGGGTAAGTACCCGTCCCCTGTATGTTCTGCAAATACCCCACATATTTGCCTTTCTTAGCATTCACTGCAATCATTCATTCCACCTGGATAGTAACTTCTGTAAGGACAGATTATTTAATACATCATTCTACATAGGTGCTAAAAAATGAAAATAGTAACTTGTAAATATGACAGGCACAGTGATTCCACCAGGGCTGTTGAGGGGAAATGGCAAACTGCTACATACTCTCTGCACTACATGGGTCATTGTCAAGCTCATCGTTGGTTAGAGGTGGGGGTGGGTGGCAGCTGGCCCTCCTGAATAGCCAAAGCTAGTGAATAAGGGTAAAGGAAGGAGGACCAAAAAAAGCGACAGGGAATTCGAGTCATCGGAGGCAAGTGACATTGGAAAAGTGTGTTCTCCTTGCCTTGTTCCCTGCCGTTTGCCACTTCTGGCTTTTCCAGCTCCTCTCCTCACCTCGGATCTGCCCCACCCGCCGTGTCCTGATCTCCTTGCACCTGCACCTGTGTCACGGTATACCAGGCCTCGATTACACCCAATTTTGTTCATATCCAGAGTAACTATGATATATGGAGAGACGGACAGACAGACAGACAGACATTCACACTTTCACATGTTCACCAAATACCTGTACTGCTAAGACCTATGGGTATGAAAATGAACAGACACCATCTCCAACCTCAGGAAAGTCACATCCTTGGCTGCATATATCAGGAACGAAATACGTTAAAGTAGAAGTATTCATTGCACCTCCTCTCTACCCCTTGCTACAAAGTTATTTGTGCGCTTAGCCCCTCAGCACTGGATCTTACGATTCTGGTTGACATAATGGAGAAGTCAGGTAAACAGGAGTAAGGAGAGCTAGACAGGTAGGTATAAGTCAGCATCCGAGGTAACAAACACAAGAGGTTTGACAAGCTGAGAGAGGGAGGAAGATTTGCGAACTGGGTTGGAAGAGCAGTTTTGGAAAGAAGTATAGCCATATGGTATATATCATCTCCAATTTGGTCTTCAGATTTTCAGTGAAGACTTTGTCCTTTTTTTTTCCTGGAGTTGGAAGTCAGATCCGTCTGGCTGATTTCTCGCTTCCACTCCTTCCTTCTGGATCCCACACCGTGTGCATCAATCAGTTCAGCCAAAAGGTGTTGTGCCTCTGATACGAGGACTGGTAGCTGCCTACAGCATTGTCCACTCCCTGGTTTTCCTTAAAAACAGAGTATATTTTATTATAGAGCAATGTGCCCAGTAGCTAAAAGACTGCCCTCCCCAACCTCCTTTTCCGTTGGTTATAACTGGGTGGCTCTGTGATACAAGCAGAGTGTGCAGAGGGATTTCTTAGGAGGGAGATTTAAAGGAGCCGATCCAGCTTAGGAGGTGAGTCTTTCCGCCTCTCCCACTTTAACTGCTGTCTAGATTTCAGACGTGATGGCTGGAACCCCTGTGGTTGTATTAAACCATGAGGCGTCCTTGGAAATGCAAACCATTCAAGCTCTGGATGGCCTACTTCCAGATTTGTTTTAAGTGGGGGGAAATAATCAAGTTTTATCTAGTGTAAGTTATGGTTCTTTGCGGCCTTTTGTAACATGCACTCAAACTTAAACCTGAAACTACTATGTGGTTAATATGGTGCAGCTTTAGTATTGTTATTTCATTGGGTTTAGAAAATATATATTTCCCTGGCTGGTGTAGCTCAGTGGATTGAGCGCGGGCTGGGAACCAAAGTGTCCCAGGTTCGATTCCCAGCCAGGGTACATGCCTGGGTTGCAGGCCATAACCCCCAGCAACCGCACATTAATGTTTCTCTCTCTCTCTCTCTATCTCCCTCCCTTCCCTCTCTAAAAATAAATAAATAAAATCTTAAAAAAAAGAAAATATATATTTCATGAATTTCTTTATTATTTAATTTATGTATAACCCACACATATATGAACCCTTGTATAAATACAAAATTATTATTATAAATATGCTTTCTTAAAGTATAGTTTTTGCATTTTTTTTTTTGGCTTGGTTTCCCCACTTGTTAAAGTCTAGTGTGTGTCTTCTCATGTAATCTTATGCAAATATGTATCTACCGGCCCAGGGAGGCTGAGGGGCAGGGTGGGAGGGACCAGAGAAGAATAAAGTATAG